GATTCTCAGCAGTTGGACTTTTTTCCCCGTTCTTCGCCTTGGTTATGGAAATTAAGATCCGCATTTTTTTGAGAGATGTTCCCTCCAGTTCTGCCTGCCTCTGCCCGACGAGTGTAGCCTTTCTCCTGGGCAGAGCTGTCTCTTTGCTTTGGGGCAGGGTTCAGGCAGTGGGTGCTGTCCCTTTGCTCTAGCTTTGTTGAAGTTACCAAACCGAGCATCACAGTGTGTTTGATTTGAGTGTTAGGGCTTGCTTGCCCTGCTTCAGAGCTTCAGGACTCACTGTCAGTCCTACCTTTCTCAACATCAGACCTATCTTTATTGAGCTGCTCAGTCTTGCATCAAAGTATCTGCAGCAATACCTGTCATCCTGCTCACATGCTGTCAATATTATGCTGTAGTCTCTTATCTTTCCTCTTTGCTCCTTCCCTCCATTGCACTTGTGCTACTTTCTGTTCCAAATTCTCCTCCTCCTTCCACTGCTCTGAGCACTTTCTGCAGAGCCTGTCTGGGTTACAGACTCATCTCCTGCAGCACGTGCCTCTGCTGCACCTCGGGAGCAGGGTGAGTGTCACACAGGTCCCTGCTCTATGGATGTGCCTGGCAGCTACCTGAGGACAACATCGAATCCCACTGCTGCATACTCAGCAAGTCCTGGAGACTTCATGGAGACAATTTTTGTGCTGCTGACAAGCAAAATTGTCTTTTTAATAAAACCCTATTCCCTTGAATGCCTCCCCTCCCGGGGTGGAGCTCTGCGTGGTCGGAGAGACCTGCCTGAGGTTTTACCTTCAGGGCCCAGCTTAGCTGTTGTCAGACTTCTGGATGGAAACTTCATGCATCAAAACAAGTCCCGGTATTTGAGATTTAAATATTTATTTAAAGATTTTTTTTCTTTATTTGTAGTGCTTAATTCATGATAGTTTGGCAATAAATGCATTGGAAAAGCCCCTGCTTTCATTCCTATCTGATGCAGATAGGGGGGAAAATAGATTTTTTTTTTAAACATCTGGCCTAATACAAGCCTTATGCTTCATGAAACTAGTTACTGAAATACCAATGTCGCTTGTGAAAGAGGAGCTTAATACTTGACCAACCCAAGTGAAACCTGTTCATCTTAGTTTGCCTGTCTTCCCTCAGTCACTAATGTCTGTTAATAAATACTGATTAGAAACACCTAAGAAATGAATGGCAAAAAGGATGGGTGTGGGGAAGGGAAAAATGCTGTCTAGGCTGTGAGAGCTTTTTTAGGTAGAGTTGGTAACCAAATGGAGCATGAACCCCATGCTTTTTGTGTAGTCTGTGCTTCATGCTTTCCCTTCTCTTCCAGCTAAAAGCACTCACAACTAACAAGCTGTTTTTTCTTTCTTCACTGACCCAGTTTAGAACAATTGTGAATCAATGGATGGTGGTGAACAACTTATTTACTATTAATTACAGATTATTATTATGTTTTTAATTCAGCCCCAAACCCACTTGCTATCCTGTGATGTTGTTACTGCAGGTATACAAGGCACATCTGACCTGTGGGAAAAGCAAGAGAAGGAGCTGATTGAGAACCTCCCAGCAGACACAAGGCAAGACTATGGTGAGGACTATCTCCTGGGGCTGAAGAGCTACCTCCTGCGCATGCCTGCCCACTGCGACGCCGACCTCTCCCCCGTGCTGAGTGCTATCCTCCATGCTTTGCTGGCCAAGAGACCACACGGCTTGTACACCCCTGGCAAAGGGGCTTATGTGCCCCTCTGCATCTTCTGCTACTTTCCTCTCTGGTTCTATGACTTTTTCATTAGTAAGATGCTGAGTATTGAGTCTGCCCCAAGGGCACTGAGAGCATCAGAAGCTGAAAGGAAGAATCTCTAAGGTATCCATCAGCATTTGTCTTACTTGATGAGATAACTGGGAAAAAACCCTCTATTTTAAGATGCTGCTATTCATTGTACTGCCTTTGTTGAATTGCATTTACACTGCCTTGCAAACAGAGGTAAATCTTTGTGTTAGGAGTAATGTTCAGGCAAAGCAGTGGATAAACAGAAATAGAAAGCTGTCCCCAGATGGAGAATTTTTGGAGGAATGTCAATGTTTTCCTGTGGTCTTTGTATCCTGCCTTCTGTGTAAGGTATCTCATGAGGTTATATAGTTCCTGTCTGCCTTGGGAAGTACCACCAACACACAGACAGATGCATAGCCTGTTTTTTAAAACAAAGCAAAGTCAACAACCTTTTTAAACATGATAAGGAGTTGCATACATTCCTATCATTGGAGAGATTTAGAAACATCTAATGCAAATCTTTCTTCCTGCAGCTTCAGGCTAATATGATTTTGGATTTTTTTTTTTTTGTTCTGTTGCTCCTGAGAAATGATTGACCTTTTCCCCCGACAAGTTTTGTGAAGTATCATCAAGATGTTTATAATGTGTCCTCTTTGCTAAGCAACATAAATTAGTTGGGGGAAAAATGAAAAAAGACAGATAAAGACCTTCAAAAAGAAGCAACCAATCTCCTTCCTGCAGTATTAGAAAAAGTAATAAGTATGTCAGCTGCTAATTTGATATGACTGTCATGGTCATTCTGCATTGCCTGTATATGTCTGTGCTTCTTTCATTATTTGTAAACTCTGATCTCACTTCTGCTTTTTGAACAATTCCTTACTCTGCTCTGGGTTTATGAAAACTCACATTTTTGCCCATTTCTCCTGACACCTTCCTGTGTCTCCCTCTGCTTTGGGGAGAATTTGTGCCACTCCTCCAAGATCGCTCAGTCTTCAGGTTGGCTTTACTGAAGTCCATTGTCCATCTTCCAACAGATCTTGGTTGCTCCCCCTCCCTAAATTCATTCTAGGAATATCAGGTGCCTTCCCTGCTTCTGGTTGTCCCTGTGCCCTATACTGTATAAGCCTCACCAGTGCCAAGAGGTTGGACAACTCACCTATATTTTTCCTACCCCACTCTATTTTCACATTGCCCATCATGTCCTTGGGCTCTGAAAGGCTGTAATATTTCAAAAGAAAGCCTCATCCCCCTGAGTTCCCCAGTTTGTCCATCTGTCCCATGCTTTGCTTTGACAAGATGAATTTCTCTTCTGATGATCAAAATTTAAAAGTCATTCTGGGCTTTAAATGTCAATACACATTTTTCCTTTCCTTTCTGAGCAACTTCTAGTCTTCTGTTATAATCCTACTTGTGTGATGTACTCTTGCAGTTAACTGAACAAAATCACTATTTAATTTGCATCTGTAATATTCCTTCCATCTCCTTCCAGCATCTTTGACATCAATGCAAGACTCCTGTAAATGCACAGAGAATGCTCAGCAGACCTGACCCGCTACTTTAATCTGTGCCCCAGTGTGGAAATCCTCCTGTCCTGTGCATTTTGTCATGATTAAGGCTTTTGCTCCTGAGGTTTATCTCCTTGTGAGTTTATATCAGTCCCCTGATTACAGATTTTGCTTTCTTTTGAGGAAGTGCCACCAAAAATGTTCTTCATTCAGAAAATCTGGGACTATTTCTATCTCTCTGCCAATTTCTTCTTTTTTCTGTTTCCCAAATTTGTTATTTGTCAGCAAAAGTGCATAATAAATAAAAAAAAAAAATTAGTAACTGGATTGTTGTGACTCTTTCTGTCTCATCTGACTCTTTGGGGACTGGTGCTACAACCCCTCACTTCTCGGGCTGGCCTTGTTCCTGTAGCAGGAGGGCACTGAGAAGGAAGGTGGTAGGCAACTTTCTCCAGGGAAAAGGGACAAAATGGCAGTTGGTGCCTTGTTTTGGTCAGGACATGATCCCAAATGGCTCAAAGGCAGCTTGTGAGCTGAAAAGAAAGTCGGGTGCAATGGGGTGCAGAGCCAGGGGTGCACTGGGCAGCGATTTTGGTTGCCTTCAGGGTGAGAGAACTCGTCGCCTGTCAGCCTGTCTCCATCTTGGATGGAGGTGGTTATTTTTCACTTAACACCCAAGTTAGGTATAACTTAACTGGGCTGGAATTTTGCCCTTAGGTGCATTATACAACCAACATTCCTCTTAGCAGCCAGTTAGCTGTTTTGCATGGCAATCTTCCTAAATGTATTTAATTGTTCCTTTATTGCTTGGCTGCAGTTATAATTTTTTTTCTCCCCTTCACTTTCGTAATAGGAATATTGTCTTGTGCATTGCAGACATATTAAACTAGGTGTCTACATGAAAGATTTGATTTAATTTATTTTTTTTTACTTTTATTTCCTGGGAAATTTTTGTTCTAAATAGTGATTTTTACATCTCTTCACCTAATTACAAAGATCTTTTAGCAAGTCTCAAATAACTGTGGTATCAAAGATTGTTATTGTTTTGTTCCTATGGGGATCTTATTTTGTGTTTCAAAGGTAATTCAGTTGTAACAAATTATTGAATTATGTGTCACTTAATGGGCTGTAGTATTAGAGGTAAATTTCTTTTCCTAATGGCTTGCATTGCAAATAATCCAAACTGTGAGAACTAATCCAAGCTGGGAGAACTGCAGAATGAATTGTGGGTGTTTGTGGCCAATACACCCATGTGGATGTTAATGCTGATGCCAGCTCCTGCTCTCAAGGACTAGTGTCTAGGTGTTATGCTCCTTTGGTTACTAAAAAGGATGATCTAATATGAAGCCATTTTAGGGGTGGGAAGAGAGGATATTTAGTTCTAGCAGTGGAAATGGATGTACTAAAAAAACCCCAACTAACCACCATGATTTAGGCTTATTTTCAAAGATATTTCTAACAAAAAGCGTATGACATGAAGAAAAGCATCTGCGAAACTGAAGAAATTGGCTGTAGCCCTGGAAAAGGACTAATAAATAATACTCTAAGATGTCACTTAATGCCCCACACTAATCAAGTTTGTATATATTAAAAACACACACGTGTATAGTTTAAAAGGGCCTATATGCTGAAGGAACCATGATTAAAGAGAAGGTTTCATACACATCCCTCTGGAATGCAGGTTGTGACCAAGAAATAAACACTGTTGTGTGCTTTTTACCAGGCAAATCCTTGGCTGCTGTCCTGGGGCTCCCATGCTCCTACTCTGGCTGACATCTGTTCTTACTTCATGTGAACAATTGATTTTAAGATATGTAGCTTTGGTGAGACAAAAGATGAGTTATAAAGTCATTTGTTTTTATAACTTTTTAAAATTCTGGATCCTTTTGCCCTCTTTGCAGAACTCCTGATGATGACCATATCTAATGCATGTTTCTAGCACTGCAGGCTGGGGAAGAGGTGAAATATCAGGTGGCTTTGTGGTTATGTCACTGTCTGGTCATGGTAGAAAGCCATGGTGGGGAAGTTCTGGTGGCCACCTGCCGAAGGACTGTCTCTGCATTTCAAGAAGTGTTAACGTGTGGGACTGTCCGTGCACCTGGAGGTAAGGAAAAGGGCTGTGAAAGTTTAAAGTGTGTTCAGATGAGAGCTGTGACAGTGAGTTTTGGGCTGGATAAAACTGATGGTGGAGGAGAGAGGGGAGCTCTGGGTCACTGAGGATTACAGACTCATGTGGGGAACAGGGATTAATCCTAAAACTGCGTTCAAGCTCTGGAGGAGGTTGAGCAGCCCCTCCTGCATCAAGCCATGTTCTGCTTGCTACCTTGGTAATGTTTATGCACAACTCTCTTGTTCAAGCCAGAGCCATCAATATAGCATCACATACAGTGATCTTACAGCCCATTTTTGCTAGTAGAGACCAAAAATAACAATGGGGAGACAGGGAATGGCCACTGTTTCTTATTTAATTAGCATGAATGGAAGCTTAGTTATTTGTAAACTAAAGTGTTTAAAATTTGACTATGTGACTATTAAAATAACTTCTCAGTGTTAAGATAGACATGAATATTAGAGAATCTCTGGATTTTGCCAGTTTGATTCCCTGCTATCCTGAGAAGAGGGAATAACTTCTATGTTCCTATGAGTGCATGTCCATGCATGTATGAGGGTTTTTTTTTTTTTTTTAATAGTTGCATAAGAAAAGTTGTTATAATTTTTGTGTATGTTCTTGTATCACAAGGACACTTCCAGGGAACTTTCAGATCTCGATGATGTCAAAACACACCGGTTTTGCTGTAAACTAACTAGTCTGGACACAGCATTGCACAGATAGAACTAAAATGGGTCACATATTGTTTGCTTGAATCAGAGAGTCCACATCTGGCCATCAGCATCCATCTATGCACCAATAATATATACAGCAAGTCTGGGACAAATACATGAGTTTGGTTATTGGTCATAAAGAGACTGGTTCTGGGATCCTTTTTGGGACAAAACATTGCCTGGTTTAGCCTTTTAATGGTTGTGTTTTGGAAGCCAGCTGGGTTCCCAAAGCGATGTCTCACCCAAGTGTATTGTGCTTCATGGAGTCATCATATTTCTAGGAATACTCAAAGAGAATTCCTTTGAAATAAAATTCATGCAGGCTTCAAAGGAAAAGTGTTCAAACAAAAGATCTTGGCTCTTGCAAGGCAGAGGTTTTATTTTGTTCTTTTATTTTTATTATTTTTTGGTTTCTTAAAAGCATTAGCTTAAATAAATGGAAAGTATTGCCACTGCCAGGGAACACCCAGCACATTGGATTCTGAAGTGCAATCGTTCCTGCTGATGTGCTCCCTGGCATGCAGACCCCATCGTAGGCAGTATTTCAATAGCCAGTGTTTTTGTCACCCAAGCTGAACATTAGAGCTCTTGCTGTTCAATTAGAGATGTATTGTGGCAACCTTGAGGCAGTGGGCTTTTACCATATTCAGAGAGGTAATTGCTTTTATTTTTAAAGCATGACCAAATCATAAATCAAGAATCACTGATGTCTTATGGAAGGAGGCGAGTTTTAAATCTCTTTGATAGGATAAATGGGTTTTAAG